GAGGAAAGAATTGATTGTTTGTTTGAATTGAATAGGCTTCGAAGCTAACAATTCTTTCACAATAAGAATCCTAATTTTTTTCTACTGAATAAAGGCTATAAAATAATAAAAATACTACTACTGTTTAATAAATACATAAATNGTGTGCCTTTATATTTAATTTTATATGATATTACAAACTTATTTAGGTAAGTAGTTAAATATTTATAAAACTGGACCGAAATTGAAAAATTTTGCTAGACTTAGCGGTTGCACTACCGTGCCCCCAGTTATTTTAGTTTTTCCTTGATTCATACACCAAACACTACTTATATTCCAAATTTGAAGCTTCTAGGTCTGCTAGAAGTGCCTTAGAATTTTGATGATCGGTGAGTCAGTCAGTCAGTGAGTGACAAAATTAAGAAACTTTGACCCGTTATAATTCTTAAACTACTGGTTCAAATTGAATGAAATTTTAAATATACCGTGTCTTTACAATGCCTGCATGGATACTGACAATTCAGTCTTCTAGTTTTATCCACAACGATGATACAGGGGGTCGAAAATGGCCTGAATTGCTTCGAAAAAAGGATGGTACGGCCGTGCCGCTTTTTTGCTCGACTTGGTGGGGCACTGCCTTACCCCCAGATACATTACCTAACTACCTACAAACACGGCAAGGTTCATTTTGTTGACCCATGCGATATTTTTTCATAAACAAAACATTCCACCTTCATGATAACAATTAGATACCTACAATCTACATACTAACAATCCAGACTGATAGCCGGTTTATTTACAAAATACAAAGATTACAAAATCTTTTGCAATCTTGACACGCTGGGCTGAATCTGAGCAGAGTTTGTTTTTTCTATGCCCTGAGTCACCATTCTATGTTTTCATCACTAACCCAGAGTAATGGAGTCGAAATATCTATGTTATTTATATTTGATAAACAAACTTTGGTATGCTTTGATTGTTAATAACACTAATGTTATTAACAATCAAAAGTAGGTTCTTAAAAAACTATTTTTGTTTGTATCTTATGAATATTTACTTATTTTAAGACTGTTGTAGGTATATTGAATGGAATATAATGTTATGTTAACTTGTTTCGATTTGTAATTCTTTGGAATTTGTAAAAGACCAAAGACCATTTTTATGGCATGTTACAAAATCATTATTTTTAAGTTAATACAGAAAGTAACATGACTCTACTATTTTTGTTAGTTAGTTTCGCTCGTTAGTTTTAAAACATATTTTCTACGACAACTATCCTTCAGTTAATGTAATATTTTAGTAGGTACCTACTTACTGTCTCATGCTTCAAAATGAAATCTCTTTATGTAGGTACCTACTTAATTATTCATGTATGATGCAATGTAACATACTAATATCACAAAGAGGAAAGAATTGATTGTTTGTTTGAATTGAATAGGCTTCGAAGCTAACAATTCTTTCACAATAAGAATCCTAATTTTTTTCTACTGAATATAGGCTATAAAATAATAAAAATACTACTACTGTTTAATAAATACATAAATTAATGGTGACTGAAGTTCGCCGGGACAGTTAGTAATTGATAAACTTACTCACTAATGAAATAAATAGGTGTATCACTTTATGCATTAAAATAATAAAAGATAATAATATTTTTATCGACTCCAATGCTCCTCTGTTTCTTTTTTGCAGCGCGTATAAAATGAAGTCATACCCCGCTAGTCCCATCAGTCTGCTTGAGACCGAGCGCCAGACGGTTGGTCCCGAGAAGCATTAGCAAAATGATTAATTACTTTATTTACGCGAAAGATTTTTCTGGTTCGACACGCAATATCCCATATTATCATTATAAGGGACTCAAAACTCTTGAAGAATTTAAACGTGACGTGAATTGTATGAAAAGTGAATTACCAGATTCTGAAGAATCAAAAGTTATTTATTTACACTGGGGGCACATGTGTGAGGAGATCGACGAAGGTACTGCTGTTAATACATACAAACAATTGATCGGAGATGGTAGAAATACCTTACCAGAAACAATTATAAGCTGGATAAAAGCAAATATTGTTGGCGAATACAAAATTAAATTGCTGTACATCATAACCGATGGTCTCATACTCCCAGACAGTGTACAGACTTGTTTAGAACTTAATGAAGATGTTGATTATGAGTCTGTTGTTTTTTATGGAATAAATGAACACGAGTATTCTATCGACTTATCGGTCGCCTCGTCATTTTTGAAGGGGCAATGCAAAATTTACCGCAACTGTGAACTATTGGATAACGTCGATATTTCTGAAGAACGTGACTATAGTACAATTACTATCGACAACTTCTCTACTGAAAAAGAAGAACTGAAATCGTATATCAAATTAAAGTACCTAAATTCAAAAGAAAGAAGTGAGACGGCTCTCAGAGAAATTGAAGAACTGAAGAAGCTGAGGAAGAGATTGTTCAATGACTTATCGGCGATAAAAGTAACTTCCAACTTGGACACTAAGGATAAAACCACATTTTTAAGAGAATTCAAGAAATCAAACTGGTACCAAATTCTGACCAGCGGAGTTGACTACGACATAAGAATAGATATTGACAAATCTATCACAACTTTAATTAATTACATCATCAGCGACAAAAAGTCTTATTCCTTCGACGATTTGAAATTCAAAATCAATTACAGCAATGTGGTTCCTGAAGAAGAGATCGTTGATGTCGATTTTGAAACCGACCAAGAAATAGAGTTTCCGGACATCATTCTAGATGACGAGAAAGGAATACCTGTAATACTAATTACAGAGTTAAATCTTCTGGACAAGATTATCTTTCATGCCAATACAGAGGCAGCCCCGGCGCCGGCGAGTTTCTCGAAATTCAAATCCACGATGGAGTGTCCATTGTTTTTATTGAACGATACCGATCTGAATGAGACAATCGGTTACTTCTATACCTTGAATGTCTATAAACAATTACTAGAAAAAAATTTAAAGGAAGAACCTCGTACAAGAAGACCATACCACGGCGGCCTAGTGCTCGTGAATACGGGCAACTTCGATAAATATAATGATTACATTTTATCAGCGACATACTTTAACNAGTTTTTCTCTAAAACTGATAATTTGGCTAGAAAAAAATATTTTCTATCCACGCAGTACGCCGGCAGCGTTCGGATCGGATATAATGACGTCATCGTCCCCGCGCCGGGCGGTCAGTGAACTTTTTTAGTAATTTGGCCATAACTTCGTAAATTTTTGTCGTAGAACAAAAATTTTTGCACTGTGTATTAAGGATTTCTTAGCCCTATAAATCTGCATTCACAGCTAAAAATCGAAATGATCCTCATTGTCGCTTATAATTTTAATATTTTTAATCATTAGTAAGTTTCGTTACTGGTTGTTGAAAATGTTTGTTTCTGTTTGTAAGATTTAAGATTTTTGTAATGTATTTTTAATAAAAATTTAAAAAACTTATTATTGAAGTTTTATTTACCTACCCAATACCTTATTTTTAATGTTAACTTTTGTTCAATGTATCTCTTCAAGTTCAAATTTCTACTTGCATGATTATCTCAAATATTTTACGAATTGTAACTTATTAAAATTTTGTTCTAGGTACAGAACATCTCAAAATGAATGAACATTAGTTAGAATCATTGAACCCCTGCCAAATATTTGGAAGCCAGATACACTAGTGACTAGGTATGTTTTTTTATTTATTAGGAGAAATGATAATGATTTTTGGATCAAGTGGCTATAAAAACTTTTCGTTAGTTTGCATTGTGGGGCGCCACTTTAGCGATGCCGGGCATGTAACTAGTGACTTTGCTTGGATCTCAATAGGTGGCGTTGTATGTCACAAACAAAGCGTTTTAATGGTTGGGGGCAAAAAAATATTCATTTAATGTGTTACCAGCTGGATTACTACTAAATACCTACTAACGACGTAACGTGTAAGCCTTTAAATTCTAGTTTCTACATACATACACGTATGTGCTTAGTAAATCAAAGTTTTTTTTTAAACTTTTTTCTGAATACGAGCTTATTGGTGCCCCGGACCAGGCATTTTAAAGCTTACGAAGAATATTGACGAAGGACTGAGGTTATTTTAGTGGCAATATTTCGCCCTTGGTCCTTTTAGTACTTATACGGTACTTTTTTTTCAACATAAACAATTAACAATGTCATGTCATTATAGCCAAGTTAGCGCCAGTTGCGGCTGTGGCAGCAATTTCACATTTGTGTGTCATTACTATTACTGGCTGAAAAGCCAAGTTAGCGCCAGTTGCGGCTGTGGCAGCAATTTCACATTTGTGTCTCATTGCTGTTACTGGCTGATGTTAGTAGGACGTACCTATTTTAATTTTTACAATGTTTTTAATTTATTTTTTTTCATTCACAAACTATTGTTTTTTTAATATCCTCAGTATTTAATTGCAATGCATATGAATAAATAAATAAAATGGTTCATAATAATGTGACATAGTAATAATAATATGATCCCATCAAAAACAATACTTGTCAAAAAAACCAAGTCTCGCAACTCAGTTGTTTTACGGTAAAAAGTTGTGAGATCCATGTAATACCAAGTCCAGGCCAGGAAATCTTTAACGTTTTACATAAATACAGTGTGAGTCACGTTAAAGTGTACATATGAAAATAGATGAAACTAGAACTGTTTTTATTGACAAAAAAGAGGAATAAAAATTTTTGAGATTTTTTTTTAATTTTTAATAGAATTTTTTTTCTTCCAATTACTTATTGTAAAGAAAACATAATAACTTTTAAACTAAGCAGTATATCCTGATAAAATAAAAACAGTAATAATGATNTTATTCCTATGTTCTTGATTAATTTTGTTGCGGGTCCAATGACAGTTTAACTTTCTCATGGGACAAACTTGACCTTCACTGGTTGGGTTTTTATTGGCGGTCAAGCTCTAGATCCTGGCTGCACAGGAGTTGCAGCGGTGGGAACGAGAGGTGGGAATAGTGGTAGTAGTGATAGTAGTATACAAAAGGAACTTACTGGCTGCTAGAACGATGAGAGCCACGATAGCGGCCACGACCAGTCCGAGCAGTGTCCAGCAGAGAGGTCTTTTGCAGCCCCCCTTCTCTCCTCGCTTGTCTGCCGTCACGTACAGCTTCTCGCCCCTGGAATATACAGTAATGAACGTGATTATTGATATGCTGTATGCCAGACTTCTTCTTCTTATTTTGTTTATGGCCAGGTCTGGGGTATGCCAGACTTCATTAATAGGTAGATTTGACGTGTGACTGCAATTGATTGTTATCACGAAAGTCTAGGCGCAGTGAGTTCGAATTGGCAATACAAACATTTGTTAGTGCATAGGTAATGTACAGTTGACATGACTATAATATTTTCCTTGCAAAATTACCTGTATTACAAGGAGATAAGACGCCACTGTTTGGCTTGATGTGCTGTCGTCCGTACCCACTAAAAAGTTTTAGTATATTTACGCTTGGCTATGTAATCGATACCAAAACTTATCCGAAAGGTCATTCAACAGGTCTCGCTCTAACCAAACCATTCAATACATTCCAATTCCATACCACACAACGCGCAAGATGTATGAAAGCACATGAATCTACAAAACCTCGCATTCACTCCCAACCCATTGTTAAACCTCAAACAAGGCAATGTTGCATGATCATTGCATCCGTAAACTCTACCAAATTGAACCCTATTCCTAAAATAACAAGGTGTACATAAACAGAAGCGGACTAAGTCGTCACATTCGATGCACCTATGCAAATAGGATGCATACTTCGAGTTTTTTGAAGGTCGACCCATGAAATTTTTGAGCAGCTTGTAACTAAGCATGAAGTGTTACTTTTTTTTCATATGAGTTCAAAGTTTGCCTCTTTTGTACCTAAATATGATAAAAGATTTAAAAACTAGAGAGGTCAGTTAAACTAGATTTATTTTTTTAAACAATTCGCAAATATTAGAACAAATACCTAAACAAACAAAAAAAAAATTGAACCACGGACTTTACAGTAGTAGTAAAGTAGATCTGGATTTCATAGACAAAAATGTAGATTGGACCATTCAGGGATTTGAAGTAAGATATAGAGGTTATAGGTCACATCTGCCCTGCAACCTAGTTTGAAAGCAACCGTCGATCAGATTTTGAAATTAGCACGCTTTGCTTCAACGCGTCAACGTAGTATTCTATTTGTCTCATTTCCTCTTGGTCAGCTTCCCAAATGTATGAAAAGGACAGTGAAGGTGTTACAGAACGCTGGTTATTATAAATCCACGAGTCCCGAGGTGAGGTGAGCGCGGTCGGGCGGTCGATGCCCTGCGCTTTGTTCCTGCGCTTGCGTCCCCCCCATTTTGTAACCCCCCCTACCCGCAGGGAACAATCAACTTTGCTATGGTCCCAGGTCTTGACGTGATGTGAACATTCATACGTTTTGGATGTAGATAGGTAGGTACCTACATACTTGGCGATGGTAAATGTGGGAACATTATTATTTGTAAGTAGAGTTGAAATTTCATGTTGAAATAAGCTTTCTGAAGTTTCCCATCTTCAGAGCAGCTTTTTATCACCTTATCATTGTCATCTAATTTTAATATCAGAAAGAACTTCTTTACTTACTTGTGCAAATATCAGTTCAGAATTTTGGAAAGTACCTACCTAGGTAAGTAGGTCAAAACAACTTGCAAAATTTAATTGTTCGCAGTCCGACTAAATTGTAAGCTTTATATGGATTCTCCCACTGAAGAGTAGAGCGACATTTTGGAAGACGTATATTTGGAAATTAAATCTGAATGTTGCCATCGCAAAAAGATCTTCCAGATCGATCGATGGAAACTTCTTCACAAAATATTCACACCTAATCGCATTTACTACGCTCGATCAGCTCCTACCATAGCGTTTGACCTACATAGCAGATCACCACGAGTCATTGAGCAAGCAGAGTATCTGATACTATTCAAATTATGAATGGCTCCAAATATCACGGTGTCAGTCCGAGTGACGCAACATTACAATGGGAAATAGTGACATGTTGTTATAGGTGTTAAAATAATGATTGAAGATTTGATGCGGCAATGTAGACTCGAGCCTCAATTTCATGCTAATAGTAGAGGCAAAAATAATATATCCCTTGGTGATTCTGAAGCATGCTATGAATATCTTGTACTACTACTGTTGTTGTACTGTTGTGTTACTGCAAATGGACTTTTTAAGTAAAATTTATAAATGTTACCTTCTGGAAAGAAAGATGTATACTGCAAACGATCATGGTACTTTTTGCAGTGTTGATAAGAGACCAATTTCCGAAATTCAAGGACCCCTGCACAGCATGGGAGGTCTTAAAATTGAATATTTATAAGTCATATCCACTTTATGAGATTTTAAGGTTCAAAGAATCTGAGTATTTTAGTTAATGTTATTTTAACTGACCACAAAATATGCGTATGATGATGGCGTTGAAAGTTGAATTGCAACAAGGTGTGGTCTTATACATAAATAATTTTAAAATATTGAAATGGGACTAAGAAAGTGTTGGTTGGTACTATCTATATGTGTTGTAGTTACGTCTGTCGGTTCCATTAGTCAAATTGATAGACAAGCTTTTAAACATTGTTACGTGGTCCAATCAATCGTATAGATTAATTGTTCTGTGGTGAATAATCAATTATATGAATGGCGCTGTTAGAGCTTACAAGAGCATTCATCTTTTATGGGAGTGTATAGTTAACAATAACATCTTATTGTTATCACAGAACTATCATCATCATCATCATCATCATCATCATCATCATCATCTCAGCCATAGGACGCCCACTGCTGAACATAGGCCTCCCCCAATGCTTCCATGCTGCCCGGTTGTGAGTGGACGTCCCAACACAGAACTAATTTTCTCTTAATTAAAATGAATTTATACGAGTCTATTGCGATTTAATAAGAGGTTCATAGAGTGTTTACAAATTAAGCAAACACTTAACAACTTTACATACGGTTTGGAAACGTTTTAATTGTTTCATCCTGCTAGTTATGACTTGCAATTAACATAGACAAGTGACGTCCAGGTCTTATTAATCACGATATTTTCAACCTCATAATTTAACAAATCGTTTGCGGTTATTGCGGTGTCTATTGCACAACGAATTGTGTTAAAATCCGGCTGAACTGAAAGTTGTTAACAGATAGCTAACAAATAGTTGTTATTTGGTTTTGTCAGTAGAAAGCCGATGCATATTCAATGAGGACAAGACAACAAACAAAGACTGAAAGAAATCCAAAACAATACACAGTGACGCCCGCGTGCTCGAAAACATCAATGCATTCTAAATTGACGAGTTCCAGCTTGTCGAAGAGCGTTTCAGGAATTTTAAACAAATAACTCTATGGATGGCGATCTTTACAACTCTTCCATGCTTCGTAATTGCATACAGCAAGTTCCTCCTCTTCCAAATTAGGCAATTAAGGCTGACAAAAAGATGGAGAGTAGAAACAATGTCGCTGCACAGTGCAAGTTTATGTAGTCGCTTTTTGTTTTCCGACAATTAAATGTTGGGAAAACGGTGTTTATGGAGAGCCCAACTTTTGTTATTTTTCATACAAAACCCAGTAAAAAGGCTATAAATATAATAATAGTGATAGACTTTTATTTCGATCACGTTTGGCTTTAAACTCCATTTGTAGACACGCCAGTCATTTGTTTATTTTGGCGGACTCCGCCAGCGAGGCGGTTAACAAAAACAACTTCAATAAATCGTTTAACAGCTCGTATGCAATTCAAATGATGAATAAAATGCACTTTACACCGCACGAGGTGGGATGGTCCGTTACGTAACAAATTGCGTAAGACTTGACCCCAGCTTCCTCCGTTTCCGGGCTTGTAGCATAATGTGACAATGACGGCTCGATATTTTAACGCGTCGCTTGCGAATGTGAAAGTCACATGGGCGTGGGTATTGTATTATTTTGGCTAATTAACATGCAGATGCAGCAATTATTTTGGCAGAGGAGATCGTAAACGCATAGTAGAGCAATTGTAGTAGTATTACCTTATATTGAAAGGACTGTAACCTTTATCTCTTGTAATACTTGCTTTCGCGTGAGATGATTCTAGGTACAGATATTTTTTCCTTAACAAAGTGTCTAAAACAGTCTTTGCTCTTTCCATTTCATGGCAAAACAATTGCGCTAACTTGCCCCATCAAAAATAAACGCCCGTTACCACACGCATCCTCAATAAATGATCCATAATTTCAAAACTGATAATCTTGCAACTATATCCATTTGCACGTCTATTAGCCATTATACGTGAAATAGAGGATATAGCAATTATTCCATTTCCAGGTGAAAATACTCAATCACGAGGGAAACGCAGTGGAATTCTAAAGTGAACGTGTCAGTAACGTGTTTTCGGTTAGTTATAACGTGACCTTGTGCCAGTGATTTTATAGCAGTTTGACCTTCGGATTAGGCTGCGGCTAAATTTAAAGCCGCCATTCCACTCTTGCGCCGGTGAAGTTAAAAAGCGTGCGCGCACGCACGATCCGAAGTTGCCGACAGACTGTTAATGCCCGCCCCTGGGAAAAGCCTTAGTGGTTTGATCAAGTCATCGATCGATGCAGTATCTTACTGTTTGATTTTTTTCTTATACACGAAGTACGATATAAGGTTAATAATCAAATAAAATTATTTTAAAAATAAATTAGGTATTCTTATAGAGCTTTTGAGCCAGTCCGGCCAGCCAGCTTTTTTAAGTGAAAATCACAATGAAATGTACTTATTATTTCACTGTACACTACTTCTAATGATGTAGTATCTTATAGTTAACTCTTGTTTGTAATAAGTTTGCAGTAACTCTCCGTGATGTGCATTTTAATCATAGTTATGTAGCGGTTATATCACAAATTTTGCATATTTTTAGGCCAAGTAATAAATTAGTATAAGTGGGATAAGGTGAGGTACATGTTTTCAACCGACTTCAAAAAAAGGAGGAGGTTCTCAATTCGACCCGTATGTTTTTTTTTTAACTATTGCATTTACCTTGTGTATAAAATAATTTGCCTTGATCCCATAAATATCTAATTAACTTTGGTGGTACTGTCATTATCATCATTAGTGCTCGTATCTAGTCTACAGTCTAAAGCTAGCTAGTATTGT